GCTGGTAGACATCGCGGTTGGAATTATCAAAGGTTTTTGACACCTGAGAGACACCGTAGCAACTCCTTTGCGTTTGGAAGCGGGGAGTGGGGGTGGGGGGAGGACCAGGGAGGATGATTCAACCACTAGATGTCACTGAAAACAACAAATCCTACACACTGTGCCTTTAACATTTTTTGAACTTGAGCAGCAGCTGCTTTGGATGCGCCGCATGCACGGAAAACGCTCAACCGCACCTACCGCTACCTTGCGCGCCGCACYAAACGTGCCGCGGTGCCAATAGGTGCATGTCCACCATAGACTTTGCATGTAAACTGGCTGCTTCAGCTGCTCAAAACACGTCCAGTTTGTACCCAGCAACAGAGTGACTCCTGCAGGCTTTGAAGTAGCTGGGACAGAAGCGGAAAGAGGTTCTTAAAGAGACAGAGGCCGATTTCAAGGTGTTTAGAAATGGAAATRTTKTGAAGACAAGTTTATTTTCTATTTAAACATAAAAGCAGCATTTTAGTAACAACTAAAGTTGACATAATTACTTTATTATGGTATAGAATTTAAATGTATGCCTGAGAAACACATATTTTTGCCCCTTTAATATTTTAACTTCTTTGTTTTTGTTTTATTCATGGCAGCAAAAGAGCAGCCGTATTCATCAGCTGGTAAATAAAAGGATTAGATTAACTAATCAGCAGCAGTATTGCATTTATTTTAATATCACATTTTTCACCTGTACACATAAAATCACAGTACTTGTGTGTTTGCGGTCAATATGTTTGTATTTTGCCTAGCTTAATTGTAATACACAAATACAACAAAACTTACACTGACGCCACTAGAAACCAAGTCATTGTCTGTGATTCTGTATTACAAACATCACAACACACATCAAATATAAGACAAAACATCACCAAAATATTGATTTAATCCGAATGCCCACTTTAATAATTAAGCATTTGTTGTCTGCGTAAAGAAATTTTATTCCAAGAACGCAAAATAATATTTGAAATATATTTTAGGAAAAGAGAAAATACCCTGCAATAACGCGTCTAGTTAAGAAAAAATAGAGAAAACTCGAGTCAAATGTATGAAATGAGAGGATGCTTAGACACAAGACAGAGTGAAACCTGCCAAAAAACCCAAGAGAAGTCAGTTCAACCTCTTTCTACTGCTCAAAAATGAAGTGCCTGTCTGGTTCTCGTCCCTGTAACCATGACAACACGGATAGCAAAAAAAAAGGTAGACTGGAAAAGTGGTAAAAAAAAATGTTTACATAAATGGAGTTGGGTTCGTGGTTAGAGAAGGTGACACGAGTACGAGACGGTGGAGGAACAGGGAAGTCTATAGGTGTGTCTGTGGATTCAGATTATCCTCAGTGTCAAGGCTTATCTGTGTGTGTGTGTGTGTGTGTGTGTGTGTGTGTGTGTGTGTGTGTGTGTGTGTGT